AGGTTCTATCAACAGTGGGAAATAATACCGTTCTGAGAAATCAAAGAATCAGGGGAAGAAATAGTGAGAACTGATATCATAGAAGGAGGTTCGAGGCCATCCAACAAGAGCTAACATTGAGCAGAGCAACTGTTACTGCCAGAGACAGCCCCCTGAACCTGGGAGAGAGCAGGGAAGAAATACCCTGACCTCCATTCTCATGCCGTCTGATCTGTTGGTGCCTCCCATCAGCTGATCTCTCCCAAAGGCCAACCTGCCAGGGAACCCAATTATCCGCAAGGGTCTGTCTCCCACGGATGTGAGGAAGGGGAATGAAGAATAACTCTGAGCAAGCCACTTCCTCTCTGTAAATTTCAGTGTGTTTATCGGTGCCTACCATATTAATAGTGACTTTATAATTTTAACTTTCCACTTTCTATTCAAAAAACCTCAATCTTACAAAGAATTTATAAGAATAGTACTATGAACACACAGATATACTCTTCACCTAGATCCACCAGTTGTTAACATTATGTTACTGTTTCCCTCTCTCTAACACAAACATACACACATATTTTTGTTGAACCATTTGAGAGTTATTTGCCAGCATCCTGAGACTTTATTTCTAATACTTATATAAATATCACCTAAAACCAAGAATGTTTCCTTGCATCACCCCAATACAATGATCACACTCAGCAAATTTAACATTAATATAATGCTATTATCAAATATAGTATAATTCAAATTTCCCCACATGTCTCAATATAATGTACTTTTTAGTTGTTTCATTTTTTTCAATCAAGAATCACACATCAGATTTTATTTTGTGTCTTCTTAACCTCCTTTAAACTAAAATAGTTTTTAAAGTTTTTTTTTTCTTTTTAATCTTTTATAAAATTAACATTTTTGAGGAATCAAAGTCCAATTCTGGTGGTCAGTTTTTCTGCAGAAAGATCCCAATGTGGATGTGTCCAATTGTTTTTCATGATTAGATCTAGTTTAAACAGTGCTGGCATTAACACTGCAGAGGTGCGGTGTCCTCTTCGGTGCTTTGTGTCTGGAGGCACATCCTGTCAGAATGTCCCATCATGGGTGATTTTTGCTTTGATTGCTAGGTTAAGGCAGTAGTTGCTATATTTCTTAAAAATATATTTTTATTGATTTCAGTGAAGAAAAGAGAGGGAGAGAGAGAGACAAAAACATTCATGATGGGAGAGAATCATTGATTGGCTGCCTCCTGCATGCCCAGTAGCTGCTAGATTTATCCTTTATGTTTTCCCCCTTTGTAATTATCAAGTAGTCTATGGGATAAGATGTGTGAATATATATTTTTTCACCAATATTCTTTCACCCAGTGGTTTTCACAACCATTGAATTTTCTTGCTGTGGCAGATAGCCTATATAATAAAAGGTCAGCACAACCAGAATGACCAATCGACCAATTGCTATGAGGTGCATTGACCACCTCTCGTTTCCTCCCCCTAGCCCACAGGCTCCGATTGCTGGATGGTCAATGGGGAACCATGGGGGAACCAGGGTGGATGGCGGTGGGGTGGGACTGGGGACTGGCAAGCAGGTGGAAGATGGCCCTGATTGCAGGCTAGGCCTAGGGACCCTACCTGTGCACAATTTCATGCACTGGGCCTCTAGTAGCTTCATAAAAGTATAATTGGGGGACATTGTAAGACTTCCTTGAAAGTTCCTATTACAACCCTTATCTCTTATTATGTTAAATGTTTTCATCCATTTGTCTCTTCATTTAACAAACGTTTATAGAGTGCCTTGGCCTTCTGAAGTTTTCATCAGTTGCTTCATTATTGCCTACACTAGTTAGCGTCTCTGGATTGGATCTTTATCCTGTGTTCCAGATCCATATTGGCAATTGCTTTTATATATCTCCATCTGATCATCTATGGATACCTTAAACTCAAATGCTCAAATTGTACTCATCATATTCAATATATTCTTCTTACGTTTTCTATTCCAGTAAATTGCACCTGTTTCCTCAGTGACTGAAATAAAAAGGACTCCTATTTATTGAGTGGCCAGCTGCCAAAGTAGGTCTTTTATGTGTGTTACAGGCATTCTATCATTGAATCTTTGCAATGACCTTGAGAAGTAGGCACCACTTTCTGGAGGACATTGGGCTCTCAGCCCCAGATCAACAGCTAGCAAGTCTTTGTGCTGGGATTCAAATTTACTTCTCTTTGACTTTAAAGTCTTTGCTTCAGTGGGGAATTGGCTAAGTCTCGTTAACGCTCAGTGCCTTGGGAGTGCCTTGGCCTTCTGAAGTTTTCATCAGTTGCTTCATTATTGCCTACACTAGTTAGCGTCTCTGGATTGGATCTTTATCCTGTGTTCCAGATCCATATTGGCAATTGCTTTTATATATCTCCATCTGATCATCTATGGATACCTTAAACTCAAATGCCCAAATTGTACTCATCATATTCAATATATTCTTCTTATGTTTTCTATTCCAGTAAATTGCACCTCTGTTTCCTCAGTGACTGAAATAAAAAGGACTCCTACTTATTGAGTGGCCAACTGCCAAAGTAGGTCTTTTATGCATGTTACATACATTATCTCATTTAATCCTTGCAATGACCTTGAGAAGTAGGCACCATTTTCTGGAGGACATTGGGCTCTCAGCCACAGATCAACAGCTAGCAAGTCTTTGTGCTGGGATTCAAATTTACTTCTCTTTGACTTTAAAGTCTTTGCTTCAGTGGGGAATTGGCTAAGTCTCGTTAACGCTCAGTGCCTTGGTTTATAAATTGAGAAAAACAATAATCCCTACCTTGTAGTATTGTTTTGGGATTTGAATGAGATTAAACTTGACAAGCAGTAGAATAATTCTTGGCAGCACCACATTACCTCCTAAGCCATAAGTCTCGTGTCATCCTAAACTTCTCCATTCACTCACTGCTTGTGGATTCATCTCCTTAGGGACCTCTCACAACCGCTAACATTGCCTTAGTTTAGACCAGGAGTTGGTAAACCATGGCCCATGGGCCAAACCCAGCCTCTACCTGTTTTAGTAAATTATGTGTTTGTTTTTGTAAGTTGAGGTATAATTGACATTGCAAATAATGTTTTATTGGAACACAACTGTACTCTTTCATTTGCATATTTTCTGTGGCTGCCTTCACCCTACACAAGCAGAGTTAAGTAGTGGGAACAGCAATCGTAGGGCCTGCAAAGCCTAATGTATTTACTGTCTGGCTTTTTATAGGAAAAGTTTGCCAATTCCTGGGGTATTGCAATAGTCTCCTCCCTGGTTTTCCTGGTTATATCTTATACCTCCCTGAACCCATCCTCCCCATTCCTCTTCCTGTGTGAGGGGGAATTTCTCAAAAATGTGAATTCAGTCATGCCAATTTGCTCCTTAAGGTGCATTGGCTCTCACTCCTAAAAACATCAGCTTCCGTCTGTGGCTGATCCTTGCATTGGCCTTGTCCTCTGGCCTTACTGAATGCTTTATGCTCTTTCCAGCCTTGGCACATGGTGTTGTTTTTGTCTGAACACCCACCCCTTGCCTTTGTCCTCAGTAATAAGCTCAGGCTTTACTTTCTCCAAGAAGCCTTTTCTGGCTTCCACAGGCCAAACCAATGGCTCCTCTACAGCTTGTGCAATACCTCAAATCCAGCATTGATCCACTCTCTCCCGACCCTGGGGTTAGCTGTCTGCCCCTGTCGCTGTGGCGAGTTACTCTCAAGGGCAGGAGCATACATTTTTCACTTTTGTATCTCCAGTGTCCAGTCTGGGATCCAGCCCTTAGCACATGCCCATTAGGTTGCTATTGCCTGCTGGCATTTCAGCTGGGATTTGAGGGCTTAAGGTGCTAGGGGAGGACAGCAAAAAGGCAGGTCAGGGCAGGAGCTGACACCTTAGCTAACTCCTAGAGGATGGGAAGGAGGATAAACAAGATAAAGGGAGAAAAAAAGGCAGTGATGAGGCATGTTGGAGACAAGCAGAGGAAGGAGACATGTGAGGGAATGCTGGGAGACAGGGTAAAAAAGGAGGCATTCGATGCCTATGTACTCTAGAGCCCCCTCTGCTGTGCGGAGGTGTGTGCACAGTGGGGAACGTGAAGGGCTGGGGCAGGCAACACCACATTCCACGTTGTCACTGTCTGTTTGCCTGCCAGCCTTCTACGAGTCTCTTAAAGCACTGACTCTGTTTTTATCCTGTCATTATTCAATCCTCGGTGTACACACTTTCTGGAATATCATGTATGTTCAATAACTATTTCTTTCATCATTGACATATGTGCCAACGCCCCAGTTTTAAGGAAGGGTCCTCGGGGCTCAGTATTTATTCTCTTAGAAGATGAACATGTGTCCTGTCTAATAAATTGAAGAACTCCAGTCATATTTGACCTTGGTTCTTGGATTTTCTGCTTGAAAAACATCCCATTAAAAAAAAAACAACGTCTGTCCTCTTATGGAAGGTTTGAATCTCTGGGACTTTTTCTGGACCTTCTCCAACTCTGGTTCCTCTTTGTTGAGTGAAGGCTTTCCAGGGCACCTGAGTTCTTTCCTAATCTGTAAAACCAGAGGCAGAGCAGTTTATTGTTTATTTTTTGTGATTTTGGTATTTTCTCTCAAAGAAATGCTAAATGTAGCTTGGAGAAATGGGAACTCCTAGCTGTAAAGCCAGGGATGGTGCCTCCCAGGTAGGATGCAGAGCTTTTCTTGATGATGTCTCCAGACTAACTCTGCCCTTAGCTTAAGGGCGGGCAGCATGGCAGTTTCAGGGTGTCACTGAAATGTGCTGGATGCTAACAGGTGCCTAGACAACTGGATACCATTGGGATCCAGGGGAACGCCTGCACTCCAGGAAATTTTCCAAGTCTCCACCGAGTTATCCTCAAAGCGAAGAAAAAGCTTCAGTTTCAAAGTGAGTGCGTTTTTTTCCATCCATCGATTGGCTTGTTTTGTTCAGTTTTACTTTGAGTGTTTGAGGTTATGTTTCGACGTAACAGCTAAACCCACGGCTTCCTTTCTCGTAAAACCAAAACAAAAAGCCTTCTTTTATTCAGATGCCCTCTACTTGTACTGAATGGGGAAGACTTCTACCTCAATACAAGCCCGCTATATAAAGTCCGTGATTCTGTGTGGGTTCAAACACATTTCAAAGCTTCGGGATCTCGACAGGTTTCGCTCAGCTTCCTGAAGCCCGAGCTCCGCTCCCGCAGCGCCATGGCCGGCTTCGGGTTCCAGAGGCGCGGGGCTCCCGGCGACCTGCCTCGCAGGACCTGGCCCTGCACCGCGCTCCTTTCTCTGCTTTTCATCCCTGTCTTCTCCAAAGGTGAGTGAGCACGAAGGTGGAGGAGGTGTTTCTCCCACCGGGTTTCATTTCTCTCAGCAGTCGAGGGCAGTGATTTCTAGCAAAGCCAGAAGCCACAGGTACCACGGAGCCTCCAAGCTGGGGAGGACGCAGTGGGCAGCAGTGCGGTCGCAGAGCCAGGCACCGAGGAGAGGGTGAGGAAGTACCTCTGAGTTGGGTTTTCAGGCACTTCGGTAAGACTGCAGGCAAATACTGTAAAGTTAATGAAGCGATTTAAGAGAGAAAAGATATCCGCAGTCCTGGACACATCTGAGCTTGGAATCAGGACAAGCTCAGGATTTTTCTTAAAACACACACACACACACACACACACACACACACACACACACACACACACACACGCACACCACTAATTGGAGCAAATCATGGAAAGTTTCTTCCCTGCCCGACTCAAGGTCTTAAGGTCCTCAAATTCAATCTTATAAACCAATTAGCCAGCTTGTTTAAAATGTAAGCCTTCTTTACTCTTATTCAGGATTTTAAGGTCCTCTGAATCAACCCTGTAAATTATTTAGCTAATTTAAGAATGAAAGCAGCTTGAAATTGTAAAACAGAAAAGGGAAGCAAGCCATCAGTCCTGCATAAGACACTTAAGAACTACCTGAGCTACCTGTGGACTTCCGAAGCAGACTCTCCAGTTTTCAGATGAAATAAAGCTCATTAGAGGCTGAAACCAGGTTTGTTACCTGGTGTAGAATGATGAGCATCCCCACTGAATTGCCATCTTATCTCTCGCTAGACCTTCTTGCGAAGAAACCATGAGTTTGTATACAGTGTAGTCAAAGATGTTTAGCAATTTAATTTTTACTGAATTAGAAATACTCAGATGCCTTTTATTATTTCACATTAAAGATTAAATACCCTTAGAAATATTCAAATTTCCTTTTTAGGGCATTTATCTCAAACTGTAACTGAAATCTTCCCATGGTGGACACTGGGAAATTGAATGTGACCAGACTTAGTAGTGATCATTGGGAGCTTGCCTGGGGTGGTCTTCTTTAGGCTTAGAGTCAACTCAATAATGATTATTGAGTGTTCATTTGGGCAGGATGTAATGGCTGCTCTCAAGACATAAGCTGGAGGAGGTGTTATTAGTGCACACAAAAAAGTTTAATGCAGGGCAGAACTTAATTTCTGTAATCAAGTTATAGCCCTGCAGAGGGTGTTCAGAGGGCATCTCTGACAGACGAAGATGAGGGCTGAGGAAGGAGAATATTGTCTAATCAAGGCTGCTGGATTAACTATGGCAATGGCTGCTGCTATATTGCTGTCTCTTCTGAGGATGGATGTTGTCCAGTACAAGTTCCTGGGGAAAAAGACTAGCACCTTCAATATAGAGTAATGTATACACAGGAAGAGGTGTCCTGGAATCTCAGACTGGAATGATAGTTTGGGATTAGATCATGAAGGTTATTTACATTATTTGAAGGTTATTTACATTATTTGTTTTTACAGTAAGTGTTATGCAAGCATCAAAAAGTTTGGACAGAACACTGGCCAGTGCGGCTCAGTTAGTTGGGAATTGTTCCATGGATGCACTGACAGGTTGCTGGTTCAATTCCCAGTCAGGGCACATGCCCGGATTGAGAGACACCCAGTAAGAGGTGTGCAGGAGGCAGCTGATCAATGTTTTGCTCTCTCTCCCCCTCCCTTCCTCTCTCTCTTTCAAAACAAAACAATAAAAAAATCTTTTTAAAAAGTTTGAATAGAATGAGTGACATGATGGTTCAATCCAAGTTTTGGATGTCACTTGTATGATTGCCTGGAGAGCTGGCCTCGCTTATCCTGTAGAAACCAGAGAGAAAAAGAGCAGAGCACCCTGTGAGGATGCTCAAGTGAGGAGAGAGGGAGGCGGAAGATGCGGTGGCAGTGGCAGGGAAAGCCCACAGAAATTAACAGCAGGGATGCCTCAGCCTGGAGAGGAAACGACCCGGTGCCCTCTGCTCTGTGGCTTTCTTCATCTAGCAGCATCCCTCATTCTATGATAATAATGTCAGGGAAGTGGGTGGCCGATTCAGTGAACCAACATGCAGCTACTCATGGGTAATAGAGGTATAGGGCCAGGGAAATGTAGGCAAAAGTTTTTGAGGGATGCTTAAAGATATAAGGCAATATTCTGTACCTCAGCCTCCAAAATTTTCTCTAGTACTCTGAACTATATTTCCTCTAGTTGCATTATAATCTTAGAATACCAGAGTTGGAAGGCACTCTGATACTATCTAACCATTCCCCTTTTCCTACATGTGAGGGAAAGTGAAGTCCATAGGGAGGCATAACAAATCATATATTTCATGGAAGAGCCAGGTCTTCTGTTTGTCACATCAGTGTTCTTTCTGGCACAACCAACTGCCTTAAAAAACTATTTCCCAATAAGAAACACCCTTTAAAAAATACGTATTTTTATTGATTTCAGAGAGGAAGGGAAAGGGAGAGAGAGATAAAAACATCAATGATGAGAGAGAATCATTGACTGGCTGCCTCTTACATGCCCCACACTGGGGATCGAGCTTGCAACCCAGGCATGTGCCCTTGACCAGAATGGGACCCTTCAGTCCCTGGGCCAACATAGGTATCCTGTCAGTCCTCAGTCCTCTAAGCACTGAGCCAAACCAGCCAGGGGCAATTAGAAACACCTTTGTGAAGAGTAGCTGGAGGATAGCTGAGAGATAGAGGGAAAGGTGGCAGGGCGGGGGAGAGTTGGAAAAGGGAAGGGATAGCGGGTGGTGATGGGCTGGTTTAAGGAGAAGAGAATAACTGAAAGCTCATGGGAGGGTGCCTATCAAAGATAAATCTTCTCTGGCTTTTACCTGGGCCTGGTGGTGGGTGAACACGGGTTCACAGAGTTCCTTTGGGTCTTCCATGTTAGGGATGCACGTGACCCAGCCTGCAGTGGTGCTGGCCAGCAGCCGGGGTGTAGCCAGCTTTGTGTGTGATTATGGATCTTCTGGCAAAGCTGAGGAGGTCCGGGTGACAGTGCTGCGGAAGGTGGGCAGCCAGATGACTGAAGTCTGCGCCACAACGTACATGGTGGAGAAGGAGTTGACCTTCCTAGATGATTCCACCTGCATTGGCTCTTCCAGTGGAAACAAAGTGAACCTCACCATCCAAGGGCTGACGGCCATGGACACGGGCCTCTACATCTGCAAGGTGGAGCTCATGTACCCACCTCCCTACTATGTGGGCATGGGCAATGGAACCCAGATTTATGTCATTGGTGAGCAAAGCCATATCACTACCCTACACCTTTTGCACTGCTGTCTTCTTTGCATGAAAATAGATACGCTCTTTAATGTCAGCTGGTTCATGTATAGGATTGTGAAAATTCTCTTTAAGAGTTCTCTGGCATACTACCTGGTAGCTGTTTTGATAGTATGGGTGGCAACCCAAACAGCATTCTGACTATAAAATAAAATGGGTTGGAGAAGGTCTTCTTTCCATTGGTATGTTGGGGCACTCACTCTGGAATGATAACTATCATTCAGTTTACTCTTATGCCTTTGAGATGCCACTCCTGGGGCAGCAGCCCCGAGTAGTTGGACTTAATCTATGGGTAGCAATATTATTAAGGTCTGGAAGCTCAAATTTCTTCAGTTTTTTATCAATGGAAGTAAGGCCCTACTGTTTAAAGAGTGGCTCAGGGAGGCTCTGCTTTGTTTTCTGTTGCAGATCCAGAACCATGCCCAGATTCCGATTTCCTCCTCTGGATCCTTGCAGCAGTTAGTTCGGGGTTATTTTTTTACAGTTTCCTCATCACAGCTGTTTCTTTGAGCAAAATGGTGAGTGTGATGCTGACAATGCACCAATTTGGATGGGGATACCTTTAGTGATAGCAACTGACCAGATGACGCTTTTCGTTTTCTTGAGATGAAGCAAGAGGTGAGGAAGGCGAAGGACAGTGGTAAAGAGCACACTAGAACCCGAGGCACTGGCCTTTGAGGTTTCAGGATGACTAATATTTTAGATGAGTGCATTTGACATCGAATGTTTGTGTGCTTCTGAAGAAGGTTTCAGTTTGAGTAACCTTTTGAACAACATGGGGCAGTTGTTTTGCTCTTTATCTTCATGACAATGTGCTTTGGTGAATAACCCTGAAACACAAGATTAAGTTGAGCAAAATGCTGCTAGAGAAGGCCATCCATCTGGATGAATTTCACTCTCTCCCTTAACGTCCCTCTACCTCACCAGGAAGCCATCTCTCTGTGAACCCAACTGTGCCTTCTTGGTCCACACTGTAGCTGTCCACATAACACCTCTCTCGGGCGCTGTTTCCCAGTCAGCTTAACTGGGAAACGTTGGGAAGTCTTGACCTCCCTTCTAGTCCAGCAAAAGTGAACCCAATTTTTTATTTACTATAATTTGTTGCTAGAAGAGAAGAAGGTATGGAATCTGACCCCCTATCAGGATTTCTTTCTGACAGTCATTTTCAGCCACCTCTGCCTAAGGCTGGCTTTGTCACACACTTCTCCCTCTCTTTCCTCCCTACTCCCTCTCTCCCTCCCTCCACCATTCTCTCTCTCTCCCTGCCTTCCTCTCTCCCTGCTTCCCCTTCCTTCCCCTCCCCTTTCTCGCTCTCCTAAAATCCTCTCTCAATCTCTTCTGTTGCTGTAGTTTCTTCCTACCTCCTTTGCTACAAATCACCTCACAGAATAGTATGCTGGACCTGGAGCTTAATTTACTAGATGATAAAAACTGAGAACTGATGCGGACAGAAAGAAAGTAATAAAAAGCAGATGAGGACTAGAAATGAGAAATACGGCTCTCAAACAGAATAACTAAAGTTCATTATCTTATCAAACTCGTTCCCCCACAGACAACATCCAGTCACTTACCATACACATTTGGGGTGTTTTTTTCTGAAGCTTTCTCAAAATCTTTTTCTTCTATCTTTCAGTCAGGGAAAAATAATTGCTATTTTGCATTCATAGCACAGAGTTATTTATCTAAACTGAATTTTAATGGCTCAATCAAGAAAATCTCCTGCTGCTTATAATTCTGTATGCTGTGAACATTCATTTTCCAACAGGGGAGGAACCCGATAGTTGTGGTGTCCTATTATGGTTAGAAGTGACTTCTGTATTCCTCAAGAATAACTACTGTTTCTTGTTGTGTTTGGCAGCTAAAGAAAAGAAGTCCTCTTACTACAGGGGTCTATGTGAAAATGCCCCCCACCGAGCCAGAATGTGAAAAGCAATTTCAGCCGTATTTTATTCCCATCAATTGAGAGACCATTACGAAGAAGGAAGACCATTTTCTGATTTCTAGGAGCTGAGGCAATTCCACCTTTTTGCTATCCAGTTATTTTCATTGATTTGTGTACTTTGGGGGGATTCATCTCTCTTTAATGTAAAGCTGGATGCAGAACCCAAATTAGGTATACTACAATTTAAAGCAAAGGAGCAGAAAAACAGAGCCAGGATGTTTCTGTTCTGTCACATCAGATCCAATTTTAGTAAAAGCATCACTTGGGAGCAATATGCGGATGCAGCATTATGATGTGGAATCAAGGAAGTAAGTTAAGGGATGGTACAGTCCTGGGAAAGCAAAGGATTTCCATGTGAGACGTTTCTAGCTGAAATGATGTTTTCAAGTTAAGTTTTTATGCTGTGGTATTTTTCCTAGCAAGTGTATAATTAAATGAATAGTTTAAGAATGCTCATATGGCTATATTTGAGCCAGTGATTCCAAGGGTTGTATTGTACCAATATGTATTTTTTATATGATAGTAATGTGCATGGGGGCCACACGTGCTTTTGTGTACTTGCTGATAGTTTGAATATAAACACTATATGGCAGTGTCTTCCCACCGTGAGTTCAGGGGAAGCTGGGTGAAGGGGCTCAGGACACTAATACACCAGATAGAATATAAGATCACCTTCTAACTAGCCTGGAAACTGGATACGGTCATAGCAGATTCTTGCGGACATGTTGGGCTGAATTGGTGTTGACATGTGCTTTGGGCTTTTATGCCAGCTCCTTTTAATGGTTTTCAAGGAAACCAGAGTCAACTTGATAGAACACCACTGTTGAGAAAATGGCTCATTCTGGGAGTCCTGTGGGTGTTAGCTTCAAGGGAGCTCCAGTTATACACACGGTTAATACCATGGACAGAACAGAGAAGCAGGTAGCAGAACGGGGTGCATTAAGGGTTCTGAAAACTAACACTGTTGGTGTTTTTTAACTCAATATTTTCCATGAAAATGCAACAACATGTATAATATTTTTAATTAAATAAAATCTGTGGTGGTCGTTTTTCAGAGTTCTTATTTTCCTTGTAATTTGAGTATTGTGTTTGAATTTGCTTTTGATTGATTCATTCAGCAGTAGGTGGGGTCTCCAATATTAGAAATACTGGGAACAAAATGAAAAAATATCCTAAAGGGCAAATGCTTCATGAGTTAGCTATCTACCAGCCAATTACCTGTAAGCCATTCTTGGAAGAATTCAGCCTCTGTGCTTTTGATTTCTTCACAACTATTTGAGATATTAAGTGGGCTACCACAGGTATAGCAGTTCTTGATAAATCACACTGCACTCTCTTTAGCACAGGGTTTTCACCTCTTCTTTCTTACCCACAGCTTTCTCAACTCTACTGGGCCACCCATTACAATTGTCATGGCAACTCCAGGGTTGTGAACCATGCCCCTTGCAGCCACTTTGATCTGCTTCCATGACAAACAGAACTTTTCCTTGAAGCTTCCCAATGAACTATTTCACAAATGTGGGGAAAACATACCCATGATACTATCAGCTAGCGGGCCTGGCCCACTGAGCCTTCTGTGATTCTTGGTTAACCAATTGTAGCCTCAGCCTGCTTGGTTTCCACACAAGGTTTCTCATTCTTGACCTCCACATCCTGTTTTTGTCTTGTGAAATGTTTCTCAGTGTGGCCAGGGACCACCGGTAACTGAATGAACTCGCTGAAAATGATGATTCAAGTGCTTAACTTCAGATGTACTGAATCAGAAACTTTGGCAATGGAGCCAGGAATTTGAGAATCACTGCTTAGGCATCTCGTTCCTCTCTCTCTCTCCAATAAGTGCTAACAAACAAATGAGTCAGCCCATAGTGGGTATTCCATACATTCCATAAAGATTGTTAAATAAAAATGAGTAGGTCTTTCAACATATGGTAATAACAGTTACCTAGAATGAGCTCCTACTCTGTTGAGGTTAACTCTTGCTCTCTTGGCTTTTGGTTGGAAGCCATAAAGAAACACACAATTTAGGAGCCCCCAATAGATAGTATGATATCATTTCTATTCCTCCAAATGTCTTTAGAGAGATCATTCTTTTTCATAGTTGATGGCCAATCTAAATGACAGAGAGGGCCTCTCAGGTATCTTTCAGACACCAATAGATGATGGACTATTTATTTAAGCTTAGTATCTCCTATACTATTACTTGAAATTCTACTATTAGCTATTCATTGAGTTAAGCATTATCCTCTTCATTCAGTCTCAAAAAAGTAAAGTACTCTTTAGCTCAAAAATTTTCCCTATGGAAGAAGAAATGGGCAAGAAAGAGTATGTCTTGAGATTCCACTGAAAGAGGAGAAAGAAAATATGGGGTGAGGGCATCTGGTCACTAGATGAAAGCCCATTCTAATTCCCAGTTTGTTTAAAAGGGTAGATTACAGGTTCTTTGCCTGCAATACTCAGAGATTCATTGCCCCCCAAATCAGAGGACCAACTGTTTCATGGCATTCCAGCCTTCATCACTATCTCCATGAATGTGATCAGGGTCCTGCAAAGACCCAAAGATTCTGCTCATCTACCTGGGGTTTGGTCTATGATGGAGGGGGAGTCTGGGCACTATAACCTTTCTCACTGGAACTGCTGGTCCCAGGTAGGAATGTGGATGACAAGGAAAGCAGGATAGAGTTTACCTGGGTCAGCCCCAACTCCTACCAGTTCCCAGCATATACCTCTGCTCATCTTCCTTTATCTTCCAACATGGTACTCTCATTTCTGCTACTTCTTGTTTCCACATATTTTACCCCCAAATATCTTTACCCCTCATTTTTACACCTACTCGGACTCATCTCAGATGCTGCTTCCTCCATCATATTTGCTGGTATGTCAAGCCCACGTGGATTTCTCCCCTTCTGTATTGCAACTATATTTGGTTTCATCTCTAATTTCAAATGTGCATGTCTTTTCTCCCTAGCTACAGGGGAAACTTCTCCAAAATAGGAATCATTACAGCTTTAGGCACACAATAGATGCTCAAATAAATTTCCTGGAGACTTGAGGAGTTAGGATATCTGGGATTATGGGAAGGACAACTGTCTTTTTTCCCCCTTTTTTTCAGAACATGGCTGTGTTTTCTTAGGTGGCTTCAGCCTAATATCTTTTCCCTTTGACCAGCAGAACTAAGTGCAGGTCAATCTATCTCATGGCTTAAACATTTAAGACTCTGGAATGCGACCTCCAGCTGGCTGCCCTGTCCCCACGTTCTACTTTTATCTCAATCCAGAATCCAGTTTCTTCCAATCGTGTGTGTGTGTGTGTAAAGGCAAAAATGCTCATTTTTACTCTCTCTGTCTCTTTTGAACTGTGGGGTTATTACTAAAACTGACTATATTTTTATATCAAGTCTGAACCTTCTTCCATCTCCACAGTTGCCACACACTTAATTTACTTGGAATTGAACTTGCAAAATGTTGCTGTGACTGTGCTGTTAATTGCAGCAAAGCCAGTTAAGAAGTTGGAGAATTTACAAATTTAACTTATTCTTTTGGGAGGTCTCAAAGCAAAGCAGAAAATATGACTTTCCATGGAAAGTTATTTCTATTGCTTCATTTCTTTTTGGCACCTGGTTAGAGCCATGACTCGGGTGTCTTAAAGGCTTTGTTTTGTTTTATATAAAAGAGATTTATTCAGATGCCTCGACCAGGGAGAATGGTGGACACCCATCACAAAGACCATCCTCCTACTCCCCCCCGCCTTTCCTGCTCACCTGTGGTTCTTATAAGGATAGAAAGGGGACGGCTGTTTTTCCTATTCAATTATCTTATTAATTTTTGTCATACTAGGGCCTAGTCCATTCATCTTTGTAGCTTTTGGCACACTTGGTATAAGAACCTTCCCTAGCAACATCTTGGGCAATTGGGGAGACTCCCAGGGCTCCCTGATTGTCCATGGTAGGACCTGCCATCAGGAAGTCTGGAGATGCCACAGCCCTTCAACCCACCTCCCACGTTAGACATGCTACCTGCACATCAGAGGGAGCCAGCTGGAGTTTTGGAGGCACCCTGAATCCTGGCCCACCCCTCCGAAGTACAAACTTGCAAAATGTTTGTATAGGGCTAATGGTTCCTGCAAAGGGCGGAAGCTATTAATCTTCTAAATTTTTTTTTCTTAGAAGAATTCAACCTGCTCTGATCTATATGGCAAGAAGTCTGACATTCAGCCTTTTCTTGGAAATTGTTACTTTCACGGGTGCACTCTATTATAGGCGTTCTTTCATTTACTGTGCACAGTAATTGCCTGGAGCACTTGGGAGACATGCAGATTGAGGTGCCTCAGACGCAGAGCTTTTCATTTGTAAAACTGGAGGCAGGACCTGGAGATTTTCATTCTCCAATGAGTCTTTGGGTCATATTTTCAGAAGCCCAGGTCTAACTCAGGAGCCTACCATCATCGATGATTAGGACTAGAGAGGGAAGCTTGGAAATTATTTTAGAAGAAAATGGGGCTCGGAGACATTAGGAAACTTGTCCAAGGTCACAGAGGGAGGCAGGGCTGGAGCCAGGCTGGGAGGCCAGGTCTGCTGATTTTCACATCCGGGCTCTGCAGTGGGTGACACTCTGAACTGTCTGCCCAGGAGATGTTCTTTTCAGGCTGCTTTCCCTCTCACCTCCATCCCAGCTGCTGTGTGAAGCCTCGGTGAGACCATTGCCATTGTTTCTGGCCTGATGTTGGCTCTATCTTTTCTACCTCCCCCTTAACCGTACAGGGTTCTAGCAAGAGACTCCAGGTGACCCAGCCTGTCCTCAGCCATCCTACTGAAGAATGCTGCAGAGGAAAACACAAAGCCAACACCGGCCAACGGCCCGTCAGTGATGCCTGCAGTACCCTGAGAAGGGATTGAAATTCTGCTGGAAGTCGTGCCGCAACCCAGGGAAAGGACACATGCTCTTCTTATCACAGGCAGTCAGGTTACCATAGCAACCAATGCTGTTTTCAAAACACATTAGCCACACAAAGTGATTTCATCTATTCGAACAACAACAACAACAAAAGGGAGGCTCTCTCTGGGAAGAAGTTTAGGAAATACATTTCAGGAGGTGATTTGAAATTTTAGACAGCAATGCAAGCAATTTCTCAGGTACAGCAGCCCTTTTCTTAGGATGTTTCCTTTTTCTTCTTGCTTCACTTTGACAACATGTTGCTCCATCCTGCAGTCGTCTTAGCAGTAACACACTTTCTTCACTTTGTTGAAAATGAGGCGTGCTTTCCTCTTTGTAGTTGACTTGCAACTCAGATATAGTCTCTAGTCTCCTGGGAACATTTCTTTTGCCCCTGGCACATCAAAGTTATCTTGAACTATGAGTAGACTTTAAGGACAGAAAGCTTGGGTCTGTGAATAAAGATGAGCATTCTCTAGTATTCCTTTCCTACTTAAGAAGCCACCATGCTGGATTCAGTTCATGAGCTCCTCATTTTGAATGAAGTGGGAGAGGAAACCGACTTGGAAGCCTTTACCAGTGCATGGGTGTACTTAGCTAAAGCAATTCTCACGGCAACCTTGCAGGAAAGGTGCTGCCATCATCCTCATTGTACAGGTGAGGAAACGGAGGCTCAGGAGTTTTATTATTCTCCCAAAGCCATGCAGAGTTAAGAGTAGAACTGATGTTGAATTCCAAAGCCTACATTCTTTTCAAATGACCATACCCAGAGGGCTACTTGCAGAAGGAAAAGGGGGAAATGAAAAGTGAATGGAAAGTGCTAGAGAAGTAAAGCATGCATCATGGAGGTTACAAATGGGTGTTGGAATAAGCAAATAATCTTTGGACAAATGCTTTGAAAGATTTTTTGAAGATGCTCATGCTTGAGATTACCTCCAGCAGCTGAGAGTTGTAACCAGTGAAAGAAGAAGACAGGAATTGAAGACATGTAAAAGTGGACCACTGACTTCAACCCACACAGTTAGCCATCGCTGTTTCCCACTCACTGGTGCCAAAATCAGTGAGCAACATGGCTTCCCACTCAGACACGGGGAAATGGAAACCATTG